GACCCCTACTGACAACGTTTTTGAGTCCCAGGAGGGGTCAATCCCCTTTCTGCAGCACTAGGACGTTTCTGTCCAGAACCACTGCACATCCCTTACTCACAAGGTATCTGGATAACTAAATAATAATTTCAGGAGATGGATTAGCATTGTACTTTAGTGAGTATAGCTATTTTGATTGCTGCCTAATTTTCATAGCTGTGTAATAATTTTGTAGGTGGCTTGGTGTCGCCGGCCGAGGCGCGCTGTCGTACAAGCAAAGGCTCACAGACGTACGCCGGAGGGGGCAGAGGACATCGCAAACCAGAGCTTGTTCGTTCTTCATCGACTGGCACAATGAGTAAGGTTCACGGATCGTTGGCACGTGCCGGTAAGGTGCGAGGCCAGACGCCAAAGGTAGCGAAGCAGGCCGATAAGAAGAGGCGCCCGAAGGGCCGCGCATTCAAGAGACTGCTTTACAACCGTCGATTCGTCAACGTCCTTGTGGGATTCGGAAAGAAGAGGGGCCCGAACTCCTCAGAGAAGTAAATGGAGTTTGTGCACACGCGGATCTCGTCTCTCTAGCTCGTAGAGAAGCAGCGGAGCGATAAAAGTGATGCACTCCATCCGAGGGGTTAGGTGTGGATCGCCGTCGTGCTTGCGCTGCATGGCGGTGTCTGGAGCTCATCTGCGAGGATGAAGGCCGGGGAGAGGGCGGGAGACGTCGATGAAGATGATGATTTTCCCATTTTACGGCTGCAGACGTGCGAGAAATGGCTGGAGCCTGCCGCGCTCTCACCGATCCTGACTGGGTATATGACCTGCCGTGCTCTCACCGATCCTGACTGGGTATATGAGAGGGAGAGGCAAGCGATCATGATGTTGTTGGCGGGGTAAGGACGATGGACGGAGGAGCGCATGGAACCATTGCAGGACTTTATGGCCAGGATCTTTGACTAACGGAACCAGGTGGCAGACTTGCTCCTGGAACCAGTTGCCGAATCCGTTGGCTGAATCTTCCTGTTGAGCTTATAAAGGTTGAAGGCGATGGAGGAGAGTGAGTTGATGTAGGCGATGGCGAAGGGGGTGGTCTGATGGTGTACTGGCATGATGACGGCACTTGTGGCACGTAGAATGGACTTAGTGGGTGCTATCACATAGTGTGCGCTCAGCAGGTTTTGTTTCCTTTGGAGATTAGCCATCCTTGTGTGTGTTCAGGCAGCAATCTGGAAGGATTTTTTTTTTTTTTTTTTTCCCCCTCAAAGTTCAACTTCAAATAATCTGGAAGGATTTTCACACACACACACACACACACAACAACAAAAAAAAAAAACTAAAAAAAAAACTAAAAAGAAAAAAGGCATCATAGTACTTCAGTTTGGTTTTCTTATTTTGATGTTTAACAGGGACCTTCCCTCCCCCGAGGTCCCTTTCTCTATCTATGCCATCTTGTCCAATTCCATTATTCAGAGGCACTCCTTTTAGAATGTTTCCTCACCAATTCCATTACCTGTCAAATCTGGACAGGACGGCCTTTCAGGCCTTTTTTTATTGTCATTATAGTATTACGTTAGTAAAAAAAAAAAAAGAATGTTTCCTCACTTATGGCTTTCTGATTTCATGGTTTTCTCTGCTTTCTCAGTTCTTTTAGAAAGAACACGGTAGGACAGCTTGGTTCATAGCATTTTACTGCTTACTGGGCAGGACGCGGGTGCTTTAACTAGTCTCCCCCTGCCTGCTAGTAACCTTGAACCACCAGTACAGGGCCCAGCCAAGTTGAAGAAGTCAAATGAGCCTCTCCTAAAGTTAGGGGACTCGCCTCATGGCGGACCCGGGGGCGGGCGGGGAATTTTTTTGTCCCACGGCTCAGGGTGGGCACTGGAGCCGCGCCGCACAGAAAACAAATTGTCACCGGCCCTCAGGCCCGCCGTGGGGCAAGTCCTCTAACTTTTAGGAGAGGTTCATTTGACTTTGTCATACGTACTGGTGGTTTAAGAGGTTATGCTTCTCCGTCCCTCTGATGATTCTTGTATCTTTCACGAAACCGGACTTGTTCCCCCCAGAATATAAAGGGGTTGTGTCCTGTTTGAAAAAAAAAAAAAAAAAAAAAAAAGAACAGCCCTGAGTATGAAACCACCCGTACCTCCAAATATATCACCCTAGCCATTGCATGCTGGTGCTTCGGGCGGGATGCGTCGGGGTGCCGTTTTGCCCGAAATCCATCCAGGCAAATGGGGCCTTGCATGCTACCGGTTTTGCCTGGATGGATTTTGGGTAAACCCGCACCCCGGCTCATCCCGCCCAAAGCACCAGCGCGTTTTTGCAAAATGGTTGGGGGTTTAAGGGTGGGCCGCCATCGGTGTAGCTACAGCAATGGCCAACCATTTCCCAAGGGGTTTCTGATGTCTATGTACACGACGACAAGCCCCAAAGGAGAGTGTCCTGGGGCGAGGGGTGTCAAACAGCTGTGTGTGTGTGTGTGTGTGTGTGTGTGTGTGTGTGTGTGTGTGTGTGTGTGTGTGTGTGCTGGGGGGGGGGGGGGGGGGGGGGGGGGGGGGGGGGGGGGGGGGGGGGGGGGGGGGGGGGGGGGGGGGGGGGCGTGAGTGAGCGTGTATGTGCTGCACATCGCTATATTCTCATATTCTCCCTTGTATGTGTGCGTGCATGTGTGTTTCGTCATGTTGGCTACACACAACTCCACAAAAGAGCATGACTGTGCCAGACCATTTCGTCGTACTTTCACCGATTCATCAGGAGGTGTGTGTGAGTGTGCATGAGCACCTGTGTGTGCTGTATGTGTAGTCACCAAATGTGTGTATTTTATGTGTGTGCATTTGTAATGTGTGTGCACACACACACACACATTAAAACAACAACAACAACCACAGTGCTGTACAGCACACACAAGCACAAATGCACAGGCTCACACACTGTATGTTTTGTATTTGCCCATATTAATTTTGTGTGTGTTGTGTGGGCATGACTGATGCTAATTTTTTTGTTGCTTTTTGGGGGGAAGGGGGGAGGGAGCAGAATTATTATGCATGCGTGTGTTGTTGTCTTTGCAGAGAAGAACAGACAAAGCATAGGGCTTTTTCCACCACTGCCCTATTCTGTTGTTGCAAAGGGTTTTAATTAATAAAAAGAAGAAGAAGAAGAAGAAGAAGAATAGGTGCTGATGTACCTAGGGGTCGAAGGTGGCATGACGGTTTTTTTTTCTTACTTCGGCCGTTTTGTTCATATTTGGAGGGTGGAGGAACCAGGGTCCAAGACATGACCGACAGTTCAACCGAACTTTCGAGACTTTGTCGGATACGGGTACAGTGTTTTTTTTTTTTTTTTCCCCCTTCAAAAGTCCATGCTGTTGTAGAGGCCAGTCACTGAGTACACAGTGATCACCTGGAGCAGTAGGCCATGGGTGTCCTGGAATATGAGACCACCTCCCATCCCATCCTCACGTCAATACTCCTAGCGCACCCCCTATCCCACTATCCTACCTCAGTGTGACCAGCACTCAGGACCATTACCCTACCAATGGGCACTGCCAGGTAACTCGGACCGAACAGCAGTGATAGGCACCAGGGCTGATAGGTTGCCCAGCCCTGGTGGAAGCGGAATCGGACGAGCCTTGTCGAACAGGAACTTTGGACGCCAGGCCCAGACAATCTACTACAGGCCCCAAGAGACTCTGGGCCCTAGGTTTCAGACTGGGTAGCACCCAATGAAGCAGTCTTACCGTCCTTCCCCTACTACTACCTCCCTAGCTTACCCAAGGCCAGGCGGAACTCGGACTGGCCTGAGCGACTTATACCCCTACCCTTACCCCAGGGTCTAAGCCTTATATATAGTCACTAGACAGTTTTATTCGAATATCAGTAGGAACTCCGGTGGCCCATACCTGTCCCTACTGCAGATACTAGACCCCACCCAGTGACTAGACCCCCCCAGTCTGATAGTTGTGTAGTTCGCAATCTATGTGTGTACCCGAAGGCTATGTATGCTCCGTGTATCTATGTATCAAGATGTACAGACAGCACCATGTGTGGAAACTTGTGTATGTAGCCCGCAGGCCATGAGTAATTCGCAAGCTATGTATATGCCCGAAGGCTATGTGTGCTTTGTGAATCAATGTATAGAGATGTATAGGCAGCATCATGGATACGGGTACAGTGTTGTACATGGGGATGCGCATCCACTTTCACTTCTTTGTTCATTTGAAAAAATAAAATAAAAAATTTGTTCTATTTCCTCTACTCCTAGATGGCAAAGCAGCATTAACTAATAATCAGGAATCAGGATATAAAAAATAAGAATAATAATCAGGGCAATGGCAGCCAGATGCATCACTCAACTTCTCTTGATCCAACCTATATCCATTCTGCAATGCATTTTGTAAAGGGACGCTGGACCCGTTTTCCAGCAGGTGATGCTCCCCACCAATAGACGGAGCCTCCCCCAGGGTGCCAGTGGTGTCTGACCCAGTCAGCACCACTAGCACT